GGGTGTGTTGATGTGATTGCCGTCTGTCTACATCCACTAGTGAGTGTATGCGTGTGTGTGTGTGTGTGTGAATGGTTTGATCTGACTTGGCCTCGTTAGACGAGCTGGGCTTCACTCTTGCCGCCCTTTAGGGGCAGCTTCTCTTGAGAGTTGTGATCAGCATCCTCGTCGTGGCTTGATCCAAGGTTGATGTAGTCGACATAGAGTTTCGTGACTACTTCGGCCGTGATCACTTCACCCGCGTTAAGCGCCATCATTCGGATCAGAAAGACGCCGTCACGTCGCAGATAGCCGTCAATGAAGTCGTCCAAATCTTCACGGTTCATCTCCACACCGCGTTGGTTCTTCACATTTCGGACGCGCAGGAAGCGCTTAATGAAGTCTTTGCGCCGTGGTGCAATGATCATTCTGGTGATCCAAAGGCACAGACTGACCGAGCTGACAATGGCTACGAACACGATCCAAAACCACATGAAAATGTAGATCTTCTCGTTGAGCATGTTGATGGGCAGGGCGCACTGAGCCGTGTAGGCGTTCTCCACGCCGACCAGGCGGATGCCGGGCACCCGACAGTAGGCGACCCTTGGGAACAGAGTGGTTTCGGGCCAGTCGACACCGGAGCGAATGTAGTTGGCCACCGTGAGGCCGAAGATGAAACCGGTCACGTCGTTGGAGCCCTGGTAGTTGTTGGTGGAAACTGGCTCGAGAGGGGAGAGGAGGCGGAGTGGTATGGGTGGTGCAGGGAAGGGGGGCAAGGTTACACGTTGTTAGTGGGATTTGTGTGGAAAGCATGAGTGTCGGTACGAAAGAGTGTGAGCGCGGGTGTTAATGTGAGGAAAACGGAAGCAAATGTCACGACTGGCTGGGACGAGGGAATGGGAAATTTGAGAAAAGTTATTGGGTTTGTTATGGTGATTGCCAAACTGACGGAGGCCAGGAGGAGATTGGACAGTGGCGGGGTGGGGTAGAATTGATGAGGGTGTGTGATCAGTGTGCTGGGGAGGCTGTGAGAGGTGTGTGAAATTGGTGTAGATGCGGTTATGAGTGGCTGATTGGATGTAGACGATGGTTTGAGCGAGAAGTGAGAATGGAGTGAGGATGAGACAAGATTAAATCCACTTAAGGGTAGGTTGTGGAAGGGACGGATCAAAGTGGAGAACTGGTGAATCATTGGATGATTGAATATAAACTCAAATTTGAGGTGAAGAAGGAGATCCCGGGCGGGCAGGAAAAGGGATATACAAAATTAAAATATAAAAAAATAATCAAAATGGCTCCAATTTAGAGAAGAAGAACCTCATGCAGAGATGAAAGTGCATTTCAACAAAGGGCTTGAAAACTAAATGATAGGGAAAAGATAAAATGCCCTAAGCGCCGAACCACTCAGTCTCTAAGGTCAAAACTGACCAAGCGTACAAACAAACGCCCAGCCGGGCACACTTCAGCTGAGAGGCCACCAAGTACACAAACCTTATGACAATGCGAGGAGTAATTGGGTTTCGAGGAATCTCTTGTTGGGGACAATTTTATTTCGTATGAAAGTGCATGAAGAAGAGATTCGTAGGTTGATCTCATCAGAGGGTGACGGCTGAATCCCGTCGTACATCTACTGTTTGGCTTCAATACGACGTTCAGGTTGACGCAGTCCACGAGACATCCTCCCTCGATCAGGATGAACACGGTCTGAGCTCTCGTGCATCATGTGATGGACACCATCAAAGCTGGAACTCATTCTATGAAAAGTCTTACTTTAACACCAGGTCAAGAAGACTGGCCGGCCCCATCTCACGTTTTATGTATACTCATGAGTAGAAGACGAAAATGTATAAATAGAGATATATTTATAGAATAATTTGGCTAATTCTATTTCATATTGGCCAAGGAACGTTTA